TAAGTTTTTAAATATCTCTGCTATGCCTACAGAAGGCTGCACAGGTATGAAAAGAAATTGCTCAACAGATAAAGGCCAAAAACACATTGGGTCCCAGTGGCATAACCCAGAAGACCAGTCAGTTTAGAAATGGGCTAAGCCTAAGTGCTAAGTTCATCAGGGGAAGTGTGTTCTGCCTGCTTTAATTACTGCTGCTCCACATCCTTCCCAACATTAAACCTGCTATCCCACTGACACGTGCTTCTCCACTTCTGTACAGACATTTCTTAACTACAAGTCCTTCTGTCATGAACTGTTTTCCCATTGCAAGCTCCCAATTTTGTTTACAGATTATCTTTCAATGCAAAGCACAAACGCGATGTGGTCAGGAATGCAAATGCAGAATGACTGAGAAATCTGTTACAAAACCAACCACGCACACACAAGAAAAAAAGCATCTGAAAAGGCACATGAGTAGGTTAAGTTTCTTTTGAAGATGGATCCGCACTAATCTCAGGAAGCTGAATGGAGAAGAAGGAAAAACTAGCATCTGTATTATGGTAAGAGTCTCCTGTTGGAATGGTACAAGTCTACAGTTCCTTACTCTTTCTTCATCAATTACGTTTTACGTTTACCTTCTGTTTCTACACCAAGCGAAACCAAACGTTAATCCCTTATCACCCATTCCAAGAACTGTAACATCAACAGTTGCAAATCACCAGGACCAGATGGTAATTCATCCAGGAATAATAAAGGAATTCAAGGATGAAGTAGCTGAATAGCTCTGGTGGGTCACCTCTTGCTTTACACTGCCAAGGCCCATGAGGACCAGAAGACAGAAAACATGAAAACATTTTCTTTTAACAGTTTCAGAAGAGATGTGAAGAACTGCAGGCCTGACATATTTTGGTGCATCAGAGAAATTCAAAGAACTAGAGGACACACAGGTAAATATGTCATGCCCAGAAAGAGTCCAGAGAGCTTTTGTAACTTGAAAACCTATTTCACATACCTACTAGAGTCCTCCAATTCTATCAACAAGCAGATATATCAGAGAACTCCACTGTGGAGTCCAGGTATTCCCCTGGGAATCTGTGCCAGAATCAAGATTTCTTTCAATATATTTACAGACAGTCAGGAAAACGGTAGGAAAGGAAGAGCATCATGATTGAAATAGCTGGTGGTGCAGATTTTGGAGGGTTGAAAAGTTCAAACCAACTGAAAAAAAGCACTAAATTATGTTCTGCCTCTCCCTCATCATACAAGGAGGTAGGGGTTACAGGTGTGGGGCAGGGCACAGGATAAACAAAATGAATCCAGGGAATAAGAAAATAAACGACAAAGGCGGGGGGGGGCATGTCAAAGGATGAAAGTTAATAAAAAAGAAACAGAAGAGGATGTCTATATTAAGGGAACTTGTGGTCTGATTCAGACTGGCTACTCTTGTCTTCCTTTCAGAATCCTCCTCCGTTTTTTTTGGCAGTAGCCTGGGTCTGAAAAGCAGGAAAAGGAATTATAATATGGATTTAGTTGAATACTGTAATTCCGACAACTGTACTTCAGAAGGCAGCACAAAATCAAGCACCACCATGTTTTATCAGGGGAGAGAATGTTCTTCCTTTAATTTGATTTTACACATAAAGAAGCGTTGGGAAATTATACAACTTCATTTTTGCTACTAGAACAGTACAGGCTGTTCTTAATTCATCTAAGTGTCTTAAGAACAAACACGTGACAACAAACTCAAAGCCTTCGTCCTGGAAAAGCATAAATTTGTTTGGTTTAGCAAGCACACAATTAAATTCTCGAATACACTGCAGCTCAGTATAAATCCACTCTCTGTCAGCCAGAGAACATTCCATTTCCAAACTGTCTTCCCCGTTGTTCCAACGCAGTCCTTACACTCCCCCACGTGGCTGAGCGCTAAACAACATGTCTTTACCGCGACCCCAGAAACTCGAAAGGGACAACGAAAAGACGCAGCAAAACATGGAGAGAGCCACAGAAAACTGACCTTCAAGATGCAGCAACTGGGGAGGATAGAGCAGAACACTGCTCAGTTCTACAAACCACAGGGACACAGAGCAGGTGTCACAAGGCCCTGACTTTATCTTCACACGACTCTCTATTTCCCTTCACTCCTCTTGGCTAATTACTTTGTGTCTTCCAGGAAGGCTGGTGGTGTTTCTCGTTAAAGAGCACTAAAGAATCACTCTACTGTTCGGAGAGAGTATGCTACCAAACGCAACATCTTTCCATAAAATGCATTTGATACAAACTCAGGCCATTAAAGACCTCAGTAGCACTCAATTAATATATTATACTTCCTTGATGCACATTTGCCCATTTTAAAAACTAAAATGTATAATCCTCTCCCACACCATGTTCTTTAGTGCACAGTCTTTCATCTGAGAACAGAAAGTCATAGTAGTGAGGATTAATTCCTGAACTTAAATGCACATAACCTACAAAGTATTGTGGGATCCTGCAAGAAATGCAACACCCCCTTGTGAATGTAGGGCTTGTCAGAGGGGTAGACAGGGGGAAGTGGTGGCAATACTACCTAATCATTGACTGGCTGCAGAGGTAGAAGCAACACAACCTTCCTTTACGTTTTCTCCAGCCTTTGGCTGGTGGAGCCAGAGACAAGAATTCCCTTCACCATACTCATTGCCACCTCTGACCAAAATAGCACCAACAAACGGGTAAAATATGATGGTTACTATGTCACAGGTCCTTGAAATCTTACAAATATTCTAGCATCTCTTCAGAACCTACAACTAAAGAGCCAAAACCTAGTCATGTATCTTCTGGATTTTCAATTACAGTAACACAAGTTTAGTGGTAGGTGACCTAAATAGAGCAGGCTTCACATCCTATAACTAAATTTGTCAAAATACCACTAAAGATAGCAAAATCATTCACAAACATTTAGCCTGGCACTAACAAGACAGACATCAGCACCACATGTCCATGTTTTACAGACAGGAAACAAAATCACATTCACTTTAGACATGTATGTTTCACATAGGGAAAATCTAAACATTTCCTTTCCAAAGCCTGTTTTATAGTTTACATACAACCATTTGACCCTTCAGCCTAAGGGAATCAACTTAACTATGTATAAGGTTAAAAACATTCAGCTTTCCTTCAGCCAAGAACCAACCCAAAGAAATAACAACACACCTGTAGAAATCACTCTCTGGGTCACTGTGCCTCAACTGAAATGGCATTTTGGGGGTTTTGCTATCCAGAGGAAGCAGGTCATCAGGGAGAGGCGGAGAGGCCGGACAAGATGGCAAAGGTTCATTCTCTTCAGTTTTTATGCCCTCTGCTTGCTGCTGGTTCTGAGCCTGAGCCATGGCGATGAGGCTGCGCAGCCGCCGGTTGTGCTGGATGAGCTGGATGGTGTGGATGGTGAGGCTGCAGGGCTCGGAGGGGATGTCTAACATGGTGGTTGGCCGGGGTTTGTTTGCAGATGGCTGGTGCAGCGGAGGGTCCTGGACTTCCACAGTACGAAACTCACGCTGCAGCAGGTCAAAGGAGCTGCGGTTGGCCTGGCTAGAGGACACCGGGATCTCACCCCAGTACCGCAGCATTGTTACACAGGGCACCTGTCCTCCTCGGGGCCCAGAAGCAAGCTACAAAACACTGTGGTACACGGGAGTCTTGCTGCAGGGAAAAGCACCAGACTGTGGGCAACAGCAGGAACAGGAGCTGGGATGATGCTCTGGCTAAAGCTGCCCAGCAGGCTGACGCTCAATCACTGAGCAGCGCAGTGTCCTCACCGGTACCAGGACGCCACTCTGGCACTTAACACATCACACTGCCGCTTCTCCTGGGAGGGGGCGGAGGTGGGGGAAGAAACAAACACATAAAACACAGGTAAAATAAATATATGTATATAGACACGCAAATAAATAATACAGAACACATCAATCAAACATAATTACCGTCAGGCGGTAATTATTCCTGTCTGTAACACGGGCTGGTGT